TCTGACGCTAAATTGGAAATAACGAATATCCAACTTTACATACCGGTAATCACTCCTTCCGTAGAAGTGGAAACGAGAATATTCAACTCTTTAACCAAAGACATCGAAATTGCTTTTCTTCGTCGTAACACGGTAGGTAGCATGACTTTAACGGGAGAATCCACCACGTGGCCAATCACCAACACCGTCAAACCAGCGAGATATCTAATGGTCGGTTTCAAAAACTTGCCAGACTCTCAACAACAACATTTTCAGAGTGGCATTGAACCATACTCAAGATCCCATCATTCGCAAAGTTCAAGTCAGATTGAACAACGATAATTATCCCAATCAACCTTTGACAATTGATCCTTCCAAAAAAGATTACAACGAATTGTACAGAAACTATAAAAACATGTGCGAATTGTTTGGAAATACGCCTCAGTTTGAATACACAGATTTTTCACTCAATCATCCAATCTTTTGTTTCGATCTGTCAGCTCATCAAGAAGATCTTTTCAAAACAGGGGTAAACATAAATATTCACATCGATAAAACACAAGGAGATGTGACCGGCTACTGTTTATTGCTGGAAGAAGCAAAACATTTGATTAAAATATCAGATAGAAGAATGATAAGAATTGAATAAAAAAACACCCTCTAAAAATGAAACCAGAAACTTTAGTTAATAGAATAAATAATAGAAGCTATGGAAACGAATTCGCCGACTCTAATAACTTACAACGGTAAAAAAGTGCATATAACCCAAAAGATTATCGATAAATACAAACATAACAAAGTCAGAGACGATATAGACTTGGAAAGAATTGATGAGAATTTAACTAAAAAAGGTGGATTTTTACCTTTCTTACCTTTAATCTTTGCTGGTTTAGCTGCAGCCGGTGCAACTGCTGGTGGAGCTGCTGGGATAGCCAAAGCTGTCAACGATAAGAAAGCTCCAGCCGCTGCAAACGCCGAAGCACGTAGACACAATTTGGCAATGGAAAGAGAAGCACGAGGAGGTTCGGGAGTAGGAGAAATATTAGGGACGGTTAAAGAATTCGGACAAAGATTTGGCGAAGAAACCAAGAAAACCGTTAAAGAGGGATTAAGCAAATTAATAGATAAAATCGACACTGGAGAAATGAAGGTCAAACACAAGGGCAACGCCATATTTTTTAAAAACATACGTTCGGGCGAGGGAATCTTCCTTTCAAAGTATAAAGGCAACGGGGTGATTTTTGGTACGAAAATGTAATAAATAAAAATGGGCAAGAAATTCAAACATTCGGACATATTTCCTAGTAACCCAATGCTCATGTGTATTTGCGGTAGTTCAGGTTCTGGGAAAACACATCTCACTTTAACATGTTGACAACACCAAACCTTTTAGATTTCGATTCTCTGTATATCTACACAACAACACCAGAGCAATCGTATTATCAATTCCTCAAAGCTATAGAATATTTACCAAAAAAAAAAGACGTTCAAGACATATTTCAATATTACGAAGAAAACGAAGAAGAAGTGGAAATAAAAGATATCATAGAAAACTTCATTAAATCAAAGAATCCATCTTTCAATCCAACGGATATAAAAGTTTTTCTTACGAAAAATGTTAATGATCTAGACTTGTCTAATATTGATAGCAATCGAAAGAACTTAATATTGTTTGACGACTGCGTAGCGCAAAGAAATCAAACTGTTCAACAAGAATTCTTCACCAAAGGAAGACATCACAACTGTCACTTCATATACCAATCCCAATCTTTTTACGGGATGGATTCTATGTTCATTAGAAAAAATGCAAATTGTTTTTTATTATTTGAATTAAATGATAAAGATTTATCTCAAATCATTCAGTCTATAAATCACGGAATGGATAGAGATACATTTAAAAAGGTTTGTAAAGCTCAATGGAGAAACCCAGATGATCATGGATATGTATTTGTAAATACTAGAAAACCTGCGGAGGAAAGAGTTATGATCGATATATGTTAATTTTATTTTTTTAAAAATGACGGATTGGAATAATTTTTTTAAAAGAAATAGAGAATATATCAAAGCTAAGAATAAAATAAAGACCCAAGTTGAAAATAACAGATTACAACAACTCGGATTAACGGAAAATCTACAGACTCTATTTCAACCCATATTAAAAAGTCAAGAAGATATTAAAAAGAGACTCGCTATAGAACCCACGCCTCGTATAGAACCCACACCTCATCACCCCAAAACGATTGAATATAGTGGTGTTATAATTAGGACAGTAGATGATGTAAAACGTCTTTTTTCAAACCCTAGCCCAGAATTACCAAAAAGCATTTCACCAATCATTGATGAAGCGGGTTTGTTGTTCAATGGTTTTAGAATAAGATTTAGGACAAATACCCCCGAATTTATAATCGATACAAAAGATTACATATACACATTAACGAGAGGGTTAATAGATTTAATGAATGGCGAGGACGTTGAAATTGCCGATTACAAGGATTTAGTAGCATACTCAAAATTTCTACATGCGATCAGAAAGTCAGGACCCGAAACAAGAAGATTGAAAGAAGTTGATTTATATATAACAAAAGTTATTGAGCAAGAGGAGGTAGATGATTATGCAGAAGATTATCCACCAATCATACAAGAAATAGACGAATTCGATGATATGAATAAAGAATTGCTTAATAGATTAGAAATAATATTAGCGGCCATGAAAGAAGGTCATCGATCGGACAGACAATACAAGTCAATGGCATATTAAAACGGCTTTTGGAGAAAAAAATCATCACTAAAAAAGACTATATAAACGTCATTAAAAATGTCCAATAAAGAACAATTGTTCGTTATCACCTCGAATAAACCAGACATCAAATTGTCTCTAGACTACGAGTATGAACTCGATCGCAATAAACAGTACGAACTGGGATTAAAGTATTTCTCCGTTTACAATTCCATTAGAAACATCAACGAAAAAAACAATCAACTAAAAATATCGACGGATAACGGAGTTACGTTCGAAACCATAAGCTTACTACCGGAAAGCTACGAATACGTAGCCATCAACGAATACCTATCCGAATACGCAGGAAGCGTGAACGGTAAAAACAATATCGAATTCGAAGGTAATTTGAATCTGAACAAAATAAAACTGATCTTGAGAAATAACAGTCAAGTCGATTTCAACGTAGAAAATTCGTTGAATGCGTTACTAGGGTTGGATAAACGAATATACGCGCAATCGACATTGGCGCCGCACAAGGCCAACATCGAGAACGACATCGACGTGATCAACATTCACTGTAATTTGATTAACGGTGGATTTTTCAACAAGCACAAACGCCAAATCATATACAGCATACCGACTTTTACGGTGCCGATCGGATACAGAATTATAGAGAAACCGTTTCAAACAACCTATTTACCAGTCAATTCTTTCATGATCAAAGATAAAAAACTGGAAATCAAAGACGGTAAAAACAGGTTCATAGACTTTGGCAACGAAGAAATTGTCATTCAACTTCATTTAAAACAATCTTCATTCTCTTCTTGAATAGTAAGATAATCGAAATCATCAAATTCATAGTTTTCATCAAAACTATACTCATCTTTGTCGTTGTAAGGATACATAATTCCTTCACTGTTTGGTGGTTTTCTTTTAACTTTATTCAAATAACTTCTAAAAACTTTAGTTTGTTTATCGTTTGGAATAACTACTCCATTGGTGAAACTTTTTTCCCACGGTTTATTAAATTCGTTCGACACATCATGTCCGCTTGCTAACTGAACGTAATCTTCTACACTTATCTTATCATTAGAATAACCTTTAAACGTTTTCTTTTCTTTTAAGACACCATCAGAAGTCAAAACGATGTTGTATTTGACTTTTGGTGCTAAATATAAACCAAATATAATTCCACCGTCACCGTAATCGTTTTTACCTTTGCAATAGTCTTTTTCGGAGACCAAACCAGCTCTGTTTAGTTTTTTCCAATTGTTGGATGAAATGTACAAACTATCGGTGTCGGTATAGTATATTTCGGGTTTATAAAATCCATTTATGACGTGAATGAAATTGTTCATTATTTTTTTACTGTGAGATAAAACGAATGATCCCAAATGACTACGTGTTAGTCGTGTAGATTTACTATCTTCTTCAATTTCTGTTTCAACAATATATTGAGTATCATTAATTTTCTCATAGGTTTTAACACGTGAATCAAAGTTGGCCTGTAAAGTTGCTTCATTCCATAAATGTCTAGTTGTGAATATGTCTTTCTGAATTGATTTACCATACAAGGAATTACCCAATAATTTCATGCAATTACTACCCACGATATTACCTTCTCGTTTATATTTATTTCTTAGATCTCTCAAAATTAAAATATAATCTCTATAGGGTGGAGTTTTAAAATTTTCTTTGTAAACTATACCATCTAATATTCTAATAATTCTTCCACCGGCTTTCGCTATTTCTTAAATATCGACCGATGTTAAAACGTCGTGACAGAAACCATTTCTGAACCTGATTTTAGTACCAGTTTCCTTTTTACCTCCTTTATTCGTGAAAGTGATTTTATCTTTAACTGGTATCGGTTGGAAGAACATGTTTGTGGGATAGTCAAACCACACTGTTAAAATAGCTGTTCTAGGTCTGAATTTTTGTTTATTGAAGAGTTTTACAAATTCTTTTTCTTCTTCTGGTAGAAACGGTCTTCCACTTTCCGCTCTCGGATATTCACTGTCTAAATCCGACATGGCGGAAGCGTATAAACCGTTAGCATCAAATGCCATTAGTTTAGTACATTCTATTTGTTTAAGTCTCGAATGAACCTCCGTTTTGTCTTTTGTGCTTGCGCTGTATTCTTTGAATAAATCAATTATGTTATTACTTTCTGTTTGTGAAATATATTCCTTTAATACGTTACAAATTTCATCCATTTTGTTCGTTTCAAATGATTTTCTATTTGCCGAAACTCTTCCTCCTTTAATAGATTGTCTGATAAAATTTCTTATAAAAGGATTAGTGTGCGAATAAACTTTTTCTATATTTTCTTTTTCGGTATGTTTCGCAACCATTCTAGTAGTTTCATACCATTCTTCTTCCACCATTTCTTTATCGTAATGATATAAATAATACCAACCCTTTAAAGATAAAGATGGAGCCGTTAGATTATTTGACATATTTTGGTTTACAACTTCTTTCGTGACTTGGTTGTATTTTATCAAACAAGCTCCCAAACAGAGAGTGTCTCTCTTGGCGTAAGGTTCCCATTCGTGTCTCAATTCCTCCCAGTTGTCTTGCGTGTATTTAGCGATATCTACGTCGGCAATCTTTCTCANATTCGCGGGCAGAT